CTCAAAATGGTCTACCATCGGTGCTAACTGCACCCCCCCCCCCACCTCCGCTTTGTGACGGTACTGCCTCACATCTTCCAAAATCAATAGCCTTAACTTTACTCTAAGTTAAAAACTAAACAATGCCATTCTTCTTGTCTTTTACGCTAAAGCCAAGACTTGATTTTTTTCCCACCCAGAATAAATTAATGTACAATTTTTATTTATTTTTTTTTTTTTGTCAAAAAAAAAAAAGCCTATAATACTTTTTTTAAAAAATCTGAGTGCTATTATTATAGTTCCAGACAATGAGCCAAAACCTAACTAGAGTCTAATGAAAAATGTCCGATAATATTGATGAAGACATGATAGATGAAACCGGAATTGAGTTTGGTTCAAAAATGTGTATCGACCGCCCGCACACCCGCCGTTATTTTGTGAAGCAGACGACACTGTTATGTTCATTTTAACGGTCTTAACCGATACCCGCCTCGACCAACTAGATTGTCTTTAGATCGATTGGAAGGCCAAGAGAAAGTTAAGGGCGGACAACCAAGCGAAGATAACTCCGCTCATGCTAATACAAGGGAAGTAAGTAGGATAATAGATAAGGAGGAAAATAAATTGAAAATAAAACGTTGGTAGGACGTGGGGTGAATTTTAGAATGCGATAATTTAAACAGCCTTCGGAGGGTCGGGGTTTATTGGCGATTAGGAGGAAATTATTGGGATGGGGTGGATAATAAATGGAATAAAAGAAATCAAATTAGAGGGGAATAAATCTAATACAGGATTTGAGGAAATTAGGTTACTTTCTCGGAAACTGAAAATCACAGCTTTGTTGGAGATTTCTTGAGCCTCAATTTTTAAATCTAGCAATCAATGCAAAAGACATAAGCATATAAAGTCCAGTGCCCCATACAGGAAAACATAATCACATAACCCTAGTACCACATACTTGAGCGACAACACCTCATACACAACATACGTCTACATACCCAAGCAAGTCTACTAAATATGAGATACATTGGCACACGATTTTGTTTCTCTTCTAGGTCTAATTCATCTTCATTATCTTCTTCATCATCGTCAACATATTAGTAGTAGAAGTGGACTAGTAATACGAGAAGTACTATGTCGGTTAGGCCTTTTTGTTATTATTATCATTACCACAGTCAATTATTATTAACCTGGGCAGGATTATTATTGATATATCATTATTAACAGTATTATCATCATTATTATCATTATTTTATTCTTATAATTATTAACAAAATCGCTGTTATTAGTATTATTATATGGGTTAACAATTATCAAGTCTCGTTTAAAAAAAAAAATATCTTTTTTATTTAGCGAGTGAAAGGCCAAGCTCGGTTCAATATTGAGTTTCTTTCAGGCATCTCCTATGGGGAAGCAGGTCTACGTCTACAGTTTCTGCCCCCTCCCCCACCCTCCCACCCAGGAACGAAATTTATTGCCCAATAGCAAGATATTTCAGTCCGCCCCCCCCCCACCCAGAAATTTCAAGTACCACCCCAAACCACCATCACCTCCCCCCCCCCCCCCCACCCCCGAGAAAATGTCTGAAAGAAACACTGGTACAAGCTACTGGGGGAGAAGGAAGCGTCCCCGACAACCACCAGCCAATCAAAACGGACTTAAGATTCCATTTAAAAGTGGCTTTGCCCTCGTTGTCGTTTGCATACCAATATGTGGGTCAACGCTGACGCCGGCCGCGCTTTTCTAGCGAGCCAAAAGTCGAGCTAATCCATGTGGTCTAGACATCGTTTATCTCCCATCTTTGTTCCCGCGCGCGAGAAATCACTAGGATACGCCCATTTATCATAACCGGTCGATAGTGATTGGCCTAACAGGTTCAAATAAATATTGGCGCAAGATTAAGAGATATATATTTTTTTTTAAATTATAGAACAGATTAGATTTGATGAGCCAAATCAATGTACGTACAGAGTTTCTTCCAGGCATCTCTTCGAGGGGGGGGGGGCTCCAAAAAGTCTACCGCCTCCCCGAACGAAATAAAATTTACTGGAGAAAAAAGTCTAGAAGAAACACTGGCTACGTAATGACGCAGTGGCGCTACTAAGCGGTGTGCTTTTGGGAGGGGGGGTCCGACCTATGTTCCTTCCCAGCTGCGCAGTCATGTTGTAAAATCCTTTTAACAAGACTTTTAGAACACCATGCAAATACACGTGGGCTTTTTTTCCCTTAGTAACAACGTTGGTTCCGATTCGGTTTTTCTCTTATTTTGATGCTTGTCGTTTAGATCGTTTATTTCTTCATACAGATATTAAAAAATTTTAAAAATCACTAGGCACTATAGAATGTTTTGTATCTCTTGAAACACGATAAAAATATTTCAGCAAAGACTTTGTAGCAGAAGTGAAACAATGGATGGAATGAACCCGAAAGAATTGAGTTCATGTCCCATGCTGGAGTCTGTGGAAAATATCTGAGTCTACTCAATAATGACACCTGACTGATTTTAGGGAAAGCAAAGGCACCTAGCAATAGCGCTGACCCCACAATGCCGAGGTAACAGAAACAGACATTCCTCATTCATCGATTCTACTCTTATTCTATTCCCTCATGTATTAGAGCTATGTACTTTTATTTCTTAATTATAAATCATATTTTATTAAATCAATATTAAATTGCTGTTTTATTAAATGGTGTTAATATCTTTTAATACTCGCCAACACGCAAAGGGACCTCCGTGCCTTCTGTGGTTATCGTTATAAAATAAAGTATTTTTTAAAATTAATTATTATTTTAATCTGCTACCTTACACAAGCATAGCATATGTGCTACCTTACACAGAAATACAGTATATGTGCAACTCTACATTTAAATACAGTATATATGCTCTGTGTGCTACATATACAACATCAGTATCACTAAACTCACTCAACTTTTTATATCATTCAAGGTGATTGAGCATTTACTTGAATGTATTAGCTCAACTGTTTGGGTGAATGGGTGTATGACAGTTTAGCTGTATGACTACATGGCTGTATAGTTGTTTGGCTATAGGGTTGTATGACTGAATGGATGTAAGGATGTATGGTTGTATACTTGTGTGGTTGTATGACTGAATTATTGTACCGGTCTAAAAATGTATCTTGTACATTTTCATCTCCACCCATACCCCACTAAACTCAAATGTTTATTATATTTTTAAAATACTCAACACCTGAGTTAAATTTCGAAATAAAAAATAAATCGAACGACAATTATATCAATATATAATATCAATATTATAATGACGTCATCATATAATAAATAGTCGGGTGGTGATTGATGTATTAGAAATGTCCCAGAGTCTCCGAGCTGAGAGAAAACGCAGGACGAGGCGGGGACTAATTTATCATCAGGTCCCGAGGGGGGACCCAGGTGTCAGACCCGCAATCTGTTGCTTGTCATTCGGTTTGTTTCTTACTCGCCCACCGTATTCCCTGCTCGCCCCATCCCCACCGCTTCCTCCAATCAACTACCGCACTGATTTACGTCATAGGCTCACCTCTCGACCCCCCCCCCTTACTCCCCCCTCCCATGCACATTGTGTTGAAATCTCTTACTAACCCGAGCCTAATCTGACACTGTATGGTGTATTGAAACACATCGTGTTGCATTAAAACAATCGCGTTAGGATAAACCTGAAAATAGAAAAACTAATTAGTACTTACCAATTAGCCTTGTCTGCTCATAATACGATATTATTTCTCTACAATCAATACTTTGATCCTAACTCAACTTCAACCCTACATTCATCATTAAAAGAATAACTTTAGAGTCATCCACACGCAGAGGCGTAGCGACCCTTCCCGGCGCCCGGGGACAAACTTTTCGATTTGCACCCCCCCCCCATCGAGATTTCGATTTGCACCCCCTCCCCTCAAACTTCCGATTTGCACCCCCCCCCCTCGAGATTTTGATTTGCGCCCCCCCCCCCTCAAACTTTCAATTTGCGCCCCCCTCAACCTTTCAACTTATTTTTCCAACTCATTTTGGCGCCCCCTAAGCTCGGCGCCCGGGGACATATGTCCCCCCCCGCCCCCCCCCCCCCCCACTCCCCTCGCTACGCTACTGTCCACACGTGTTTCTTTCGGGAAGAGGTGGGGGGGGGGGCTCTGGTTTAAGAAAATTATATTTTAAATATTTTTTCTACTTCGCTCGGGATGGGGGAGGAATGGTGGTGCAAATGATCGTTATACTTTATATTCACCCAGCACAGAAATTTTGGCGTAAACCGTCATTTCAAAAAACAAACATTGTTTCGGAGTAGTAGTCTGAAGTGTGATGTGTGGTATGTTATTTTTTACGCGACGAATTGATTGATGTGAAAACGTTACCAAACGTGAGGTCATTCACTATCGAGACTTAACACCCTGCAAGTAAAGCAACACTGATAGATAGACCTTCTCTTCAAAATATCTACAATGTTTCTTTCAGGTATCTTTCCTTAAATAGTCTGTTTCACTACCGCCCCCCCCCCCCACCTATACCCCCCCCCCCACAAGCATTCAATATTCAACTGTCTTAGTCAAACTGGTCATCAATGAACAAATCGACCTCAACATATGAAAACTAATCGCCCACGTCATACATTTATATTGGACGGTAAATCAAGCAATGCGGACAAAAAAAAACAACTAAAAATGTATTGATTTATTTTTGTTTGGATAGTTCAACAATGCAAGGGAAGTAACAAATAATATACCACATTCATTTTTTTCTCTCAAATTATAACCCTTTACTTGTCATAAAAGTCAAATTTATTCTGTTAAAGGTGAAACAAATTAAGTTTAAAATATATTTTATAATACTTATTTTGAGTTTAATTAATCTTGTTACTTAAAAAAAGAAATAGTCTAGTATTATATCTTTAGTGTTAAATGTTATCATTTTTATATTATATTATAACAGTAAATTTTTCTAAGGTGAATCCGTTTCTTTATTTCGACGGCTTTTTATTTTGAAGAGATAACTCTCGGATAACTGGTAACGGAAACTTCCGGTTTTTAATTTTAACTTAACAAATTGAAGCAGGCAAGGTAAAAAAAGTTTTTAAATCATGCCTTATATTAGTTACAGATCTATTTCTAGAACTGAGTACTTTTTAAAGAAAGTAACCATTAAGCCACAGAAAGCCTTACCCCTAATTCTAATCAAAATTGAGTTAGATCTAGATCTATTTCTTGGTTTAAAATTTTTTAACTTGACAAAGCAAAGGACTCGATTCGAAGGAGGTTTCATTTTAATATTTTAAATTTAAATACTTTTATAGGCCTACTAAAAATCCTAGAGATCTAGATTCTAGTTAAACTTGTTAATCTAGTCTAGTTAAAAATACTAAAATAGATAGGGTAAAGCAGGGCTCTTAGAGCCGTGTGGTATTAGATTAGATTCCAGTGGTTACCCCACAAAAAACACTTTTAATACAGGTGGTTCTAACAGATTGTAACTAATCTCTAATCTGCCTGCCGGATGATTATAGATACCAGTGTCCGATAATGGAATCATCTTTAAAATATGGGTGTTGGGTTGTTAGTAGTATTGTAATCTCGACTCATTTTAATTAAATTTATGGTTAGAAATTTCAAATTAGGGGTTAGGCGTATGGTTGGACCAGGGTTTGGGTTAGGGTTAGGGACAGGGTTAGCATTGACATTAGCCAGCCATGTGTGAATTTAGTTAACTACCAGTTCCAGTAACCTAACACCCCTTTTTTTAAAGAAGATTCCATTATCAGACACGGGTGTAAACATTCTCCCTGCCTGCCCTTTATGCTTCCCCCCCCCCCCCTCGATAAGCAAATAGTGTGTTATAAATTACATAACATGACATGGAGGTGAGAACAAAGAATGAAATTTTAAATTATATTGATTAGGCCTAGGCCTATAAAATGTTTATTACAATAACAAAGTGAAGTTTCCCAATTAATAATGCATATTTGGAAAAAGAAGATCAGAAAATTGTTTGATTGGAGGTGGGAAATTTTGAAGAAAGAGCAGTGGTATTAATTAATTTCTGTTTCACCTCCCTGCTGGGAGTGGGTCATAAATTACAAAATATACATAAGATTAAGAAGAATCCTCTGCTTCTCTTTTATCAACAGCAGTGGTTGTTACCTCAGCATGACAATTTTTTACTATGGAGTCTAAAACTTAATGTCGCATGGCCCAGTTCATATGCCCCAAAGGCTGATTTTGGGAGTATGGCTACAAATGTAGAATTAAACCAGTTTAATATCCTTGTCATTATATTTATGCTGTGTAAGATGTGTTAGAATAATTTTGTAATAATTTCAATATTAGAAAGTACTTGTATTAGTAAACATCTTTAAAAATGTACAGGTGCTAAAGGCTAAGACATGTGGCTCTTAGAGTCCTACTTTGCCCTTATTTTAGTTTTTATTTTAGGCCGACTAGATCTATTTCGGGACTACTATCCATCAGCTGGTCTCACCCTGCTCAGAACTGAAATGCTGAAATAAGATAGTGCTACAATTACCTGGTTTTTCTAGTAGTTTCTTTTGGTGATACATTTATTATAGCTCGCATACTTGATGAATTACTGGATGCCATTTTTTGTTCTGTTCATCTGTTGTGTAGGTGATAATATGGATTTAAGTCCAGATGATATTCTGAGGAGAAGAGCTACTATAACATTAGCCCATTTACGGGAAAGCCAGCGCCAACTTGTCCGTGATATACAAGAGCAATACAATGAACTTGGCCAAGCTGTGGATAATTTACGTTCCTATTTTGCCCCTGATAGTGATGATGAGGTTGGAGAATTCAGACCTAGAAGTGCCAATGCCAGTAAGTCACTTTTTAAGATATATAGTCTTATTTCGGTTAAATTAGAAAGAAAATAGTATTCATAGACTATTTGAGTGGAAAAGAGTTTAAAATTCTTAAAGCAAAATTACTTAAATTAAATATTCTTTTTACTTTTTTGTTTTAGAACCTAAACGAGAGAAAAGTAATAGAAATAAATTGAATGAGGAATCAAAGACAAGTAGAATCATCAGACCACTATCAAACAGAGCACCTGTTTTATTAAGAGAGAGGGAGTATGGGTTTCACAAAAGAAAACAAAATTCTCAAGAATTCCATCAAGAGAATCTGCCAGATTATGTGTCCCAACAACTCCCATCAGTCTTACAAGAGAAGGAGCTGAATCTTGGGATGATGAATAAAGTTTTTGCCTCCAAGTGGTTGAATGAATCTCAGGTTGTGCTGGGTACAAAGTGTAATAAGGTCAGTGTTTTCTTCTGGGCACCAGAGGTCATACGATTATGTTAAATGGTACACCATGTTAAATCATATACTGTTGTGGTATGCCTAGGACTAGGTTTCATCTTTCAATGTCTAGTAATTATACTTGTCAGTAAATTCATGTCATTTCACTATAAGTTAAAAGAATTTTGTTAAAACTTGACTTGGGCATCCGCTATCAACTTACATTAGAGTACTATGCACAGAAAATTATGATGTTAACCGTAGTTTCATTAAGTTGCATAAATCAAGCTTAAGGAGTGACATTGTTTTTTTTTAAACTAGTTTTGATGATAGTTTTCTTTAACTTTGATAGATGTTTTAGTTTTAGCTATGTTTGTATTTTTAAAAAAAAATAATTGAGATAAACAAATATTTTATAAGTTACAAATCAAATTTAGAAATAAACTGCGATGTGTCAGGTGAGACAAAAATCACTGTTTGTACAATATTAACTTTGTGTTGTTGTAGTTGATGGTGATGGATGTGAGGAGCAACAACCTGGTACACATCCAGTCATTGAAGAGCACTAGTGAAAGTAAAGCTGCTGAATGCCCCTGTGGGATACACAGCATCGCCATCAACCCATCCAGGACAATGCTGGCGACTGGGGCACAAAATACAAATGATTTAGCTGTGTATGAGCTGCCGACCTTTGACCCACTCTGTGTTGGCGAGGTAAGACTTCTCATCACAACAGTATATGAAGTCTAATAGCAAGGGTCTAAAAGCACCTCTCCTCAAATAGCAGACAATCAGATTAACAACAGTATTATTTTTCTGGTTTCTGATAGCAAAGCTGTTTTAAACATTAGGCAAATTTTATTAGTTTTTTTTTTATAGTTTTAGCTTAGTGAACGTGTTCAGATTTTTAGTTTTATATTTATGATATGCTGGTTTTTGTTTATCCCAGTTACCACTAAAGTTAATTAAATTCTGTATCATTTTTTGTTAGGGGCAATGATAAGTTATGCATAGGTTGATCAGTGTAATAACAGCATGATCTAATTACCCCCACCCCTTACAACTACTCCAAGCCCTGTAGAATCTGTTACAACAATGGAGGCTGATATTTGATTAATAAACCATTTTATTTTAGCAAGCACATGAAGACTGGATATTTGACATGGAATGGATAGATGATGAGCACTTAATTACAGGTTAGAAACATTTCTAAATTGCTCTTTGGGTCAAATATAAAAATTGATTGATGCACTCATAGAAGTGAAATTCTCAGGGCGCATTAGATCATGGTTTTCTCATTTATTATGATGGCTTTGTTGGTGCAAAGGAATGCTAAACAATTTTGTTTCAGTTTGCTCTTTTTCTAGATTTGTTGCTGTTACCTGTTTTTGTGTGCCAGGTGGCTTTAAGTCGGCACTTTTGTGTTAGCAACTATGCTCTCTCTCTCACTCAACCAAACCACCCTCAAAACAAACTACAGAAAACTCATGAAAAATATTGTGTTATTGTCAGTACTAAAAACTTTTCTATATCTTGTCCTAGGTTCCAGGGACAGCTCACTAGCACTGTGGTGTATAGACAACAAAGGCCTGTCATCTGAGACCTCAGGTCGACCACACATGCATGGCTACCGTGTCATAGCACCTTACTCTAAGGAGTTGTGTAGCCAGGCTGTTAGGGTCAGGGCATTAACCCTGGGGAGGAACAGAGGGGTGAGTACAGTCTAGATCAGCTCACTTGCCTTTTTATCATTCTTGTAGTGATAAACTTGATGTTGATCTAAGCAGACACATGTATATTTGGGCTTATTCTGTGTGTACTAAATATTATGTCATTTCATTATGTCCATTTTATGTTGGTCACCTTTCAGATGATGGGTGTGCTGTCTATGAATGCTAAATTCCATTTATGGGACATCTCAACCTTCAGACAGGTTAGTGGTTTTTATAATCTGTAGTCATTCCTAATACTCTTATATATCCTTTATATTAAAATCTACAAAACTGTGAATCTATTCCTAATTAGATTGATAATTGTTTGTTCCCTGTCATATGAGCAGATTGAATCCATTGATCTGCCATGGAAGAGAGAAAATGTTTGTGTGGCTAGTTCAGAAGACATGGGCCTGTTTGCCATAGGTTCCCAGGCCTATGTCACATTGATTGACCAGAGGCTGGGTGGTGAGTCCAAGTCCAGATTCCTGCAGATTCCAGCCAAACATGGGGAACGAGGTTGGTAAATTGACACATGTAGCCTTGTAAAGAACATGACTTTTTTTATTGCAGTGGCTTCTATATAAAAAGAGGAAGGTAAATTTCAGATTTGATGAGTAGACAATAAAGCTCATCTATAGTTTGTTACAACACCATCCATCATACTAAGGTAGTCAACACCCGCATGCTCTCTTTACACTAAACAGAATGAGATAAACTTAATCCGTGATTTTGGTATAAATTGGGTGGACTTTTATTTTCTTACGAGAAAAATGGCCCGTTGAGGAAGGATACAACGGGCGCTAGGCTGATAGTGCTGTCTCTTTTCTCTAAACTAAAACCACCCCACACCCCCCCACCCCCGACCCCCCCCCCCCCCCCCCCCCCCCCCCGAAAAAAAAAACACATGTCTACCGTCCCATTCAACGAAATATAATTATATACTTTTTCCAGTGTCCGCCCCCTCTCCGAAAATTCTACCCCCCGCCACCGAAAATTTCAAGTACCCCCACCCCTCTCCGGGGAGGAAAAAGTCTAAACGAAAACCACCCCACCCCCCCACCCACCACCCCCCCCACCCCCCTAAAAAAAACATGTCTACCGTCCCATTCAACGAAATATAATTATATACTTTTTCCAGTGTCCGCCCCCTCCCCGAAAATTCTACCCCCGCCCCCGAAAATTTCAAGTACCCCCCACCCCTCTCCGGGGAGGAAAAAGTCTAAACGAAAACCACCCCACCCCCCCACCCACCACCCCCCCCCACCCCCCTAAAAAAAACATGTCTACCGTCCCATTCAACGAAATATAATTATATACTTTTTCCAGTGTCCGCCCCCTCCCCGAAAATTCTACCCCCGCCCCCGAAAATTTCAAGTACCCCCCACCCCTCTCCGGGGAGGAAAAAGTCTGAAAGAAACACTGGTGTCGCGCTTAGCCACTACCCGAAGAATTGCATTAAAGAAATTGCAAGAAAATCACTTTTTAGATTAGACACATTAATTAGGCGGTAATTTTATTATAGAGTATCAATGAAGAAATTTCTTTTGAGTTGGGGGGGGGGGGGGGCTCAGACGTTCTTATGCGGGGGGTGGGGCTTCGCCCCTACCCGAAGAATTGTATGCAAGAAACTCTTCACGCAAACCATTTAGATTAGACAAAATTATTTCCTTTTTTTTTCAATGTTTACTCGATAATCAATGACGTCATATGACTGTGTGCACACTGTGTGCTTGAGATTATTTTCTACTCTATGCTAAATGTGACCGCGTCATACTTCGTTTTTCGAATTACTGTGCATGTTTTTATTTTGCTTGTGTTTTCTCTAGAGCGTTCTTGTCAGATAGATAGACAGACAGCGAAACTATTAGTATTAATGTCTATTCAATGAACAATTACAAAAAAATAATTTTCTACCAGATGATTTATCATCAATTAACTTTAGTATTTCAAATATTAAAAAAGAAAAGTATTTTACTGGGGAATAAAATGACGAGGGGGGGGGTGGAGCATGAAATTATTTCTTGTCGTAATTCTCTTTGGCTTTCACCATTGTTTTGAATAAGCTCTAACTGTAATTTATATACCCAGTAAGTCTTAGTTTGCACTAAACTGTATGATTGCTTTAAAAAAAACTATTATTTGTGCTAACTGAATGTCTAAAAAATGTCTATTGTTCCTCAGGAATCCGCTCTTTAAGCTTTAACCAGAACATGATAACAATAGGGACAGGGGATGGGAGGGTGTTGTTCTTTGATGTGAAGATGTTCAAGTTCCTGTACAATCAAGATGGCAACTGTTGTGAACTGCAGGTTGGGGATGGATGGCTGGTAAGTGGACCATAATTGTATGTTCCTGATTCATATGTCAACATTTCAAGTACAATAAAGCACATTAATATAACAATTTCAGATACTGAAACTGCATTTTAATGGTGTGTAGATTTTTCAGATTTTTTAATTTGAAAGATGAATCATGGAATACATGTAACTTATTAACATTTTTCTTGATCCCATTTGTAGCTTCAGAAAAGGAATGTTTAGGTTAACTCTCTATCAACTAGATTTAGTGTACATTGTCTTTAGCTCAGACATTATTTTAGTCTTTTATTGACCTGGTGTTTATTTTAGCCTGCATGTAACCGTGTGTTTATTTACTCCCCAGCGTAATGACTCCAACTACAGAGAGCACTTCATCCACGGCCACTACCCCAACGCCATCTACACACACTGCTACGATGAATGGAAGGCCAGACTGTTTGTGGCTGGTGGCCCATTGCCAGCCGGCCTCTATGGCAACTACGCTGGACTATTTTACTGAACCAGCTTGGCCTTATACTGCAATCCTGTATCAGATATGTAAAGATAATAACACTCATCCATTGTAAAAAAAAATGTGTATAATTGTAGCAATATCAAAATCTAAGTACAGTTTTCTTATACATAGTGTCCTATTCATCTGCTATTTAAGAGATTTGTGATTTCATACTTACAGTCTAGTGCAGTTTTGTATGGTTTTTATGTGCAATATTGACAGACTGGACCAATGTGAGTAACTGTGGGTGATGGTTGAGTTGTCTGGCATTGAATTCCTTGACATTTGCTGTAGAAATGTTGGCACTGTGATGGGATGATGTTGTACAGATTTGGGAGATGGTTGGGATACCTGGCATTGAATTCCTTGACATTTGCTGTAGAAATGGTACTGTGATGGGATTATGTGTACAGTTTTTGTGTATGTCTGTAGTGTGGGTAGGTAAACTGTGTACTGTAAGTGAAATAGTCACATTGTATGTGATGATGCTTGAAAGTGGAATGTGATGATGTTCATGAATGTAAATGGGTTGTGAAGATTATGCTACAAATGTTATTTATGATGGGTCTAGGTTCAAATCTTCACATAATTAATGGGCAAGACTTAGACTCACCATGTATTTAATGGACAAGACATTTGTCCCACATATAATAAAGTGGGCAAGACTGGCTCAATATGCTTAGAACTTAACATGGGTCTAGACTGAGACCCAATGTAGTTTTTGTCTAAGCTCAGATCCTCATTATGGGTCATGTCTCAGACCCCTAAAACAGTTAATTAGTCTAGCCTCATAACCCCCAATATGGGTCATGGCTCAGACCCCTAAAACAGTTAATTAGTCTAGCCTCATAACCCCCAATATGGGTCTATACTCAGACCATGTGTTTGATGAGTTAAAGCTACAATTGTGTTAGATGAAACAAAACCTTTGTGATAGAAAGATACAACATGCTGACCAGACTAGAGTGTCTCCTCATTCCCCCAACCAGTGGGTTATCCTTATAATTCTACCACCCTATACAGCCTGTTAAGCTACTTTAGGGAAACGAGGGGAAATAAACCCACCAGATATTGTATAAAGTTGTAGAGTTGATTTTGCATTGACTGGACTTTTTTTTTTCAGTATAATAGTTCTGACAAAAATTTAAATCTGCTGAAAATTTGCCAGTGAAATGTTTTTTCAATCAAAGTAGAAATTCGTTCCTGTGTGTAATTTAGTTCTGACAAAAATTTCAATCTGCTGAAAATTTGACAGTGAAATAATTTTTTCAATCAAAGTAGAAATTTGCTCCTGTGTGTATTTTTCACACACATTTTTTTTATTGACTATCATAGTGGTGCCAGACAGCTGTGCTGTGATATGGCTTTCATGTATATCTTTAATGGTGGTCTCATTTTTCTGATCAATTGTACACATTTTTATGTTCTTGTATTTTCTGTAAATATACTCATGGCCTGGACACAATATTTTGTATCAGTTTGATGGAAGTTTATGCTCACATTCTCCTGTACATTCAACCAAATGCCCCTACATGTTCAGCTCACCTGTATAGTTTTGTCACCACACTAATGAGTGCCACTGTGGTGGACCGGTCCATCTTGATTACCATTGAGATCATTGTTAAAACTATTGGATTCAGTAAATAAATGGAACCAGCAATAACAGATTATCATTAAGATACAGGTGCAAACATTGAGGTAAATTAGATTTAAAACAACTAATGTAATAATGTACATTTAAAAAATTTAAATCTCATATATTGTGTTAGCATAAGTCAAAGTGTTAATTTCTGTTTGATTACATGTGTAATGTATGGATACTATACTGATTAGATAATGTATTGATACTATACACATTAGTAATTCCTTAGTGCTGTAAGACAACCACTTGCACAATCCAATCTTTATTGTGGTAGGTTTGTACAAGCTACGGTATACAAGGCCTATAGAAATAAAATAGTGTACCAGTGGATACACACTATATACTGACAGTTCACATATATATTTTTTGTAGGATGCCATGAAAGTGCCAGGTGAAAACTGATTTTGATATGTCTGTCAGATTTGAGGTCATCAACCATTGCATTCAAGATGTAATGCATTTATTCTAGACCAACACAATTTTTAAATGTAGAGAGATTTCTGGTTACATTTGCTGTTCATTATGATATGTCTCTATTAAGATAATTAATAAAATGTCATTCAGATCAAAACTGTTTCGTTAGTTTTATATAACTGCACTAGCCAGGCTGAGACTATGACATAATTGATAAGGAAACTATTTGTAGCTTATAACATAGTCACACTATCACACTCTCCCGCTATATCATGGCGGGGGGGGGGGGGGTCGAAATAAATGGTTCAAACACGCCTGTTAGGAACCAGGTCAGTAAGACAGCACCAACATATCTGAAGTCCTGGTCAGTCCAACCAGACACTTCCTCGCCACGCCCCCACATACTTCTTTGCCACGCCCCACACATTTTATCGACAGAAACCACACCGTTAACCGTACTCTGATGAAATTCATGCAGCTATTTTTAACTCGTGAATCTTCATAGTGGCTAATAAAAGCACTCATCGTATACCAGTCTATTGGTACGGGCACAGTCATGGCTTCTGTAGCTAGAAATGCGAACACTGAAATAGGTTTGCAACTATCCATCATACTGACCTTTTGGGACTAAAGAACTTAGGTTTGATTTTGTTGTGTACACTTACTTTCAGTAATTAAGTTTCATATTTAGGCCTACAAATATATACAAATATTCTACATGTTGTATTATAATGATATATTTCTATGCTTATTTTTCAGTTAAATACTTTGGAAGGGAGTAACTGGATGGTTTTTACACATCCCGTGTTTTCGAGTCCTTATGAAATCCCTGAGTCCAATGGTTTAGGGTTTAAGGTTTTAGGTTTAGTGTTTTTACATTTTGCAGGTTACGGGTTACTGTTTACGGGTTACTGTTGACTGTTTCTGTTTTGCAGGTTATGAGTTGTAAGTTACAGGTTACGCTTTAGGTTTAAGGTTTCAGATTTAACTTTTTAGATTTAATGTTTAACTTTAAATGTTTTAGGATTTATATATTATGATTTAAGCATTTGGGTTTTAGTCTAGGGTGTTAGGAGATTAGTCAGCAGATTAGCTTCCTTTGGGCTTTCAAAAGCAGGGCAACATGGGCTCTTCTAGAGGGAACCTCAACGACCGGGTAAATGTTGGATTTGTGTACTTGCAGTTTCTATAGCAATTCTTTTTTTTTTACGAGATAAGGTTGCTGGCCTTATATTTCAACCAGTAGCGTACGCAGGGGGGGGGGGGGGGAGCAGGGGGAGCGGCCGCTCCCCCTCTGGCCATTTTCAGCAAAGTGGCGCCTTTTTGGAAACTTTTTAAACTCAAAGTTTTAAACAATGATATTTGTTAAAAAAATAGTTTTGGTCGGCACATCTATGTAAATCACAAGATTTCTTTTCATGCAGCAATTAAGCATTATTCTACTAGTCTAGTAGTGTCTACGTTTACAGCTGCATCAGTTTGCCATTCTAAAAATAACCATTACGATGCATTGCAATGTTTAAAAAAACCTCTACGGGTAGTACCACTTGGCAAGAGGGGTGTTAAGTTTAAGGCAACTGTATGATGTATTTGCTTACGAATAATTGAATTAGAAAATGTTATACATAAAACTTCACACATAATTATTTTATATATACAGTTTGAATCGTGTGATTAATTTTAAAAAAAATCACAATACAGAAACAAATACAACTGATGTGGCATCTCTATTTAAATTTACTTATGAGCAAACTGCTTAGTGGTGGGGAAATTTTGACAAGGTCAACGACGTCATCATGATGAAGTAGTAGTATTCTTAAGGTTTGGGCGATAGTGATTACGATTACAAATTATATGAAACAGTTACAACCCCCCCCCTCCCCAATGGACCCCTCGGTAAAAAAAATATTGTCATAATACCACTGCTACTTATTTAAATCTATTTCTGTAATATATTTGTGTAATATATATTTGTGTAATATATATTTGTGTAATATATATATATATATATATATATATATATATATATATATATATATATATATATATATATATATATATATATATATATATATATATATGTATGTTTAGAACAGTCATCTAAACTGACGCTATGTTCACCCTGAGTTGGTTATCCTCCCCCCCCCCACACACACCTCACCACCACAATTGTGTAGAGCGACATTAATGTCACACCTAGGTCTACACTGGGTTGGATAATTGACCTAAAGTGACCGGACAGTGGTGAATGAAGTTGAACCCACCCCCCCCCCCACCCCGAACTGATCTGTTAAGTACATGTAGAAAAACGCGTAATGATGTACCAAAGTACCATGCCGCCAGAAAATTAGCTTTTTAAACGTAAAACTCTGTGAATGTTGTTTTTGCAATTACCAGTAAAAAGGTGTGTGATCAATACAGTGATCTAACACTATGTTAAAAAATTATCTTTAAAGAACACAAAGAAGCAGTAGTTAATAAAAAATATATGATCTGAACTAAAAAGAACGATATTTAGTTAAATGTAAGCTGTTATTCCAAATGTTGTTCTATTATATCGAAAAGCGTGGTTTTATACCTACTCTGATTTTAAAAACTTTCATTATGCTGTAATACTTTAGCCTTTATGATGACGATATATTAAATTCTGATTACAGACAAAAACATTTTGTAAACACGAATAGTGTTAAACAATTTTATTATATTCTCAAGCAATAATTTATTTGTTTTGACATTTTATATAGTTAAATGTGTAGATATACATATTTATATTAAGAGAGTGATTATTTCCCCTATTTCACTTGTCTTAAATAATTTCCCAGGAATTATTATGTAAGAAATTTTTTTTTACAAGAATTACAAAACAGATTGTGTTACGTTCATTGTTTTTGGTTGTAGTGTGTGTATATATTTTTTGTTTTGTTTTAATTGATACAATTTTTGTTTTGTCGGCCTACATTGTATGTTTTTTCTTATTTCTTCAGAGTGCTACTTTCAATTTATTTTACATCATAGGGAAGTAATGACATACAGCTAGTATATATATATATATATATATATATATATATATATATATATATATATATATATATATATATATATATATATATATATATATATATATATATATATATATATATATATATATATATATATATATATATATATATATAATTATTATAATACACGTATATAGAACGTGTTAAAAATTCGGCGCCTTTTTTTGCTCTTTTCGCTCCCCCTACAACGAAAACCTGGATACGCCTCTGATTTCAACCCCCAAACTGGAGGACCAGTGTGCTAGCTTTGGTCTGATCCCTACCCACGAAGATCTTCCCAGCTTGGTTGAACCTACCAGGAGTTTACACTCCCGCTGGTATAGCTCTTGGGGTCATCGAGATACACAAGCTGCCAAGCCACGACAAGGCTCTAACACCTGATGGCAGTCGCGTGACGGGTTACAGTTTACGTTTTGCGGGTTACATGTTGCGGTATTCGAGCGACGGTTTGCGGGTTACGGTATTCGAGCGACGGTTTGCGGGCTACGGTATTCGAGCGACGGTTTGCGGGCTGCGGTATTCGAGCGACGGTGTGCGGGCTGCGGTATTCGAGCGACGGTGTGCGGGCTGCGGTATTCGAGCGACGGTGTGCGGGCTGCGGTATTCGAGCGACGGTGTGCGGGCTGCGGTATTCGAGCGACGGTGTGCGGGCTACGGTATTCGAGCGACGGTGTGCGGGCTGCGGTATTCGAGCGACGGTGTGCGGGCTTCGGTATTCGAGCGACGGTGTGCGGGCTAAGGTATTCGAGCGACGGTGTGCGGGCTACGGTATTCGAGCGACGGTGTGCGGGCTAAGGTATTCGAGCGACGGTGTGCGGGCTACGGTATTCGAGCGACGGTGTGCGGGCTACGGTATTCGAGCGACGGTGTGCGGGCTACGGTATTCGAGCGACGGTGTGCGGGCTACGGTATTCGAGCGACGGTGTGCGGGCTACGGTATTCGAGCGACGGTGTGCGGGCTACGGTATTCGAGCGACGGTGTGCGGGCTACGGTATTCGAGCGACGGTGTGCGGGCTACGGTATTCGAGCGACGGTGTGCGGGCTACGGTATTCGAGCGACGGTGTGCGGGCTACGGTATTCGAGCGACGGTGTGCGGGCTACGGTATTCGAGCGACGGTGTGCGGGCTACGGTATTCGAGCGACGGTGTGCGGGCTACGGTATTCGAGCGACGGTGTGCGGGCTACGGTATTCGAGCGACGGTGTGCGGGCTACGGTATTCGAGCGACGGTGTGCGGGCTACGGTATTCGAGCGACGGTGTGCGGGCTACGGTATTCGAGCGACGGTGTGCGGGCTACGGTATTCGAGCGACGGTGTGCGGGCTACGGTATTCGAGCGACGGTGTGCGGGCTACGGTATTCGAGCGACGGTGTGCGGGCTACGGTATTCGAGCGACGGTGTGCGGGCTACGGTATTCGAGCGACGGTGTGCGGGCTAAGGTATTCGAGCTACGGTGTGCGGGCTACGGTATTCGAGCTACGGTGTGCGGGTTTCGGTATTCGAGCTACGGTGTGCGGGTTACGGTATTCGAGCTACGGTGTGCGGGTTACGGCATTCGAGCTACGGTATTCGAGCTACGGTTTGCGGGTTACGGTATTCAAGCTACGGTTTGCGGGTTACGGTATTCGAGCGACGGTGTGCGGGCTACGGTATTCGAGCGACGGTGTGCGGGCTACGGTATTCGAGCGACGGTGTGCGGGCTACGGTATTCGAGCGACGGTGTGCGGTTTACGGTATTCGAGCGACGGTGTGCGGGCTACGGTATTCGAGCGACGGTGTGCGGGCTACGGTATTCGAGCGACGGTGTGCGGGCTACGGTATTCGAGCGACGGTGTGCGGGCTACGGTATTCGAGCGACGGTGTGCGGGCTGCGGTATTCGAGCGACGGTGTGCGGGCTGCGGTATTCGAGCGACGGTGTGCGGGCTGCGGTATTCGAGCGACGGTGTGCGGGCTATGGTATTCGAGCGACGTTGTGCGGGCTATGGTATTCGAGCGACGGTGTGCGGGCTACGGTATTCGAGCGACGGTGTGCGGGCTACGGTATTCGAGCGACGGTGTGCGGGCTACGGTATTCGAGCGACGGT